TAGTCCCAGAAGCATGTCCAAGGGGAGGAGCAATACATTATGCTCTAGGATGCTAATACAACCACATACATAAAAATAAAATAAATAAGAAATTTGTTACAACAAACACATCAATCGAAAAACTTGGAATTTGTACAATGTAAAAAATACCACATCTATGAAATGACTAATGTTGAAGAGCCTCAGTCTCATCAAATCTGAGATGCAGGGATGTCAGAGCAACAGAGTCCCAAATGTCAGTTGTCTAGTATACATTTTTCATTGTAATGCAACACTAAAGCCTCCTTCTTACTTACACTTTGCTAAATTTGAAGAAATAAGTCACATTATCAACATAAACTAATATCACAAAAAAAGAAACAAACACTTCAGGAGTGACTGACTTTGAAATCAGCATGCTAACCTTCTACATCATTTGGTCTCTGGTGGAGAGTTGTCTCATTGGAAATCATACCACATCTTATAATATTTAATTATACATTGGGATAATGACTATTTTGTAAATAAATAATCTGAATTTTCTTCATGGTGTTGATTCCCTTATTTATATTTATATTGTAATGCAAACAATGCAAAGTGTTTCTGAATGTTTGCCTACAAAACCACATATTTTGTCTTCCTAAGATATTCAGTGATAACATCTTCTATGTAAAGTGTTATATATTGTCCTACAGCCAGTTCTCTTGCAAAAGAGGACCTTATCCAATTGTCAATAACAAGATTGTCCTACAGCCAGTTCTCTGGCCAAAGAGGACCTTATTCCATTGTCAATAACAAGATTGTCCAACAGCCAGTTCTCTGGCCAAAGAGGACCTTATCCCATTGTCAATAACAAGATTGTCCAACAGCCAGTTCTCTGGCCAAAGAGGACCTTATCCCATTGTCAATAACATGATTGTCCAACAGCCAGTTCTCTTGCCAAAGAGGACCTTATCCCATTGTCAATAACATGATTGTCCAACAGCCAGTTCTCTTGCCAAAGAGGACTTTATCCCACTGTCAATAACAAGATTGTCCTACAGCCAGTTCTCTTGCCAAAGAGGACTTTATCCCACTGTCAATAACAAGATTGTCCTACAGCCAGTTCTCTTGCCAAAGAGGACCTTATCCCATTGTCAATAACAAGATTGTCCAACAGCCAGTTCTCTTGCCAAAGAGGACCTTATCCCATTGTCAATAACAAGATTGTCCAACAGCCAGTTCTCTTGCCAAAGAGGACCTTATCCCATTGTCAATAACAAGATTGTCCTACAGCCAGTTCTCTGGCCAAAGAGGACCTTATCCCATTGTTAATAACAAGATTGTCCTACAGCCAGTTCTCTTGCCAAAGAGGACATCATCCCATTGTCAATAACAAGATTGTCCAACAGCCAGTTCTCTTGCCAAAGAGGACCTTATCCCATTGCCAATAACAAGATTGTCCTACAGCCAGTTCATTTACCAAAGAGGACCTTATCCCATTGTCAATAACAAGATTGTCCTACAGCCAGTTCTCTTGCCAAAGAGGACCTTATCCCATTGTCAATAACAAGATTGTCCAACAGCCAGTTCATTTGCCAAAGAGGACCTTATCCCATTGTCAATAACAAGATTGTCCTACAGCCAGTTCATTTGCCAAAGAGGACCTTATCCCATTGTCAATAACAAGATTGTCCTACAGCCAGTTCTCTGGCCAAAGAGGACCTTATCCCATTGTCAATAACAAGATTGTCCAACAGCCAGTTCATTTGCCAAAGAGGACCTTATCCCATTGTCAATAACAAGATTGTCCTACAGCCAGTTCTCTTGCCAAAGAGGACCTTATCCCATTGTCAATAACAAGATTGTCCAACAGCCAGTTCATTTGCCAAAGAGGACCTTATCCCATTGTCAATAACAAGATTGTCCAACAGCCAGTTCATTTGCCAAAGAGGACCTTATCCCATTGTCAATAACAAGGATGGTTTATATAGATGTATTTTGTATCTAATGTTTGTTCTTCACAATAATGTTTGTTGTAATAACCCAAGATGACCTTTAATTTAATTATGCTATATAATGACATAGCATGGTAAGCTGACCCTTGTAACCACAAATATCTGACCATGAGTAATGATACAGGACACAGCATGGAATGATTCATAACAAAAAACTTCTAGTATATTTTATATCATATTGTAAAGAACATTATTATACCATAACAATTTATAACATGACCGGCCAGCTTGTAACTTGTTTAAACATAATATCTATATAAACTGTAAAATAAAAGTGATGTTAATTTTTTTGGCAAGATTCAACCAATTTGTCAAAATGTTTTTAAAAAATATGAAAAATTATATGACCGATTTAATTTTTATATTATATCATATATAATATCAACTGATGATGTAAATGTAAATGCCATTTACATGTTAATTGAATATGTTACCTATTCTTCAGGATGTGAAGCAATATCAATTATCTAGTTTTAGATCAAGTCTAAAATTTGACAGATTTTCAAACCCCTCAAAATAGTACGTCAGTTTATAAATTAATGCTAAACACTTGTGAGGATACTGAATATTGTTTTTAGGAGAGAATTTGAATAAACCAATAGTAAAGATATACTTTATATGTAATATTATACTATTTGACTTTAAGTAAATTAAGATACAAACTGGCTAGTACATTTGACAACACATTATAATTCTGAGTATATATTACATTTACTAACAAACATAACTATCCAACAAGCATTTAAATGTTTGATTTAATGTTCTACACAACATTCCAGGAAATAAAGTACAAATTTTCTACTTGTACATTCAACGTCAATGATAATAGAATATTTCTCTTCATGATACTCTGCATTCATACATGTATTTCCATGATTTGATTATTTCAAGACGTAATCAGAACATAAATATTACCGAGAGGTCTTCCCCTTTATAAACGTAATACAGTTACTAAGCCAGTGATATAATATCTGCATAATTTCTTCTCCAGAAAATTCACCTGTAAACTGTCTGCCTTTCATTAGGTAACATTAATGCATGAACGAAATGGCCTCTCCATTAAACCATGGCTGATATTTTGGTTATCAATACATCATAGCAAAAATTAAATTTACCATTTTTTCCCTCACGTGACATCTGCACTAAACAAGTTCATACTCCTTTTACAAGCACTAATCAACATTAAAAAAAGATTCATAAAACAAAATACTTAACTAAGCACAAATCAATTAAAAACACAAAAAGATTTAAAATCATACAAAATCAATTAAAATAAAAACATGAGAGTTCACACACTAAAATATCTTGCTTAGATAAATGGTTATCACTGAATGTTACAGTCTGACTTGCTGTATATATCAAGAACACTTGACATTCATCATTGAACAATTAAAATAGGGTCAAGGTTAACACTGATAGACATACAATTTTATAAACCAAATATTGCTTACCTTATAATTATACTGATAGTAACAGAGAAAATGACCAAAGCAATCAAACTTAAAAATTTGTTTTGAAACATGACAATGAGGACAAAATCAGGAAACCTCTGTAAGACAGGAATGAAAACAGCAATTATTTTATGAACAAAAATAGTGAATCTACTTCTCATAATGCTTGAGAAACTAACCAAAGCTCTTTGTACAACCAAATAAAGTGACCTGTTACTGAAAGAAAAGGTGAAAAAAACCAAAATGTGACAATTTAAAGTCTAGTGAGTCATACGACCAACCTATATGCCATTTACCAGACAGAAACTTCAGGTTTTGTCCAAAAAAAAAATATGGCTTGTCTAGTTCTTCAAAAACTATATAGCTTTGTACATTTGTTTGATGCAGTCACTGCCTGATTGGCATACCTTTTTTGCAGACTAGACAAAATGCCTTTCAGACAATAAAAATATAAATAACATAAAACACAGTTTCTCACTAAATGTTCATATTTATGCTCTTAAACGCATAATCATATGCTTTATCACCTATTCAAAGTGTTCACCATCTAAATGGATCACAACAAAATAACAAAAATAATGGCTAAAAAAACAACATTAAATGAAATACCAATATCTTCTCAATGATTATAAATATGTCACATGTCTATCACTTGATCAATTTTCAACTATAAATAGAAACATAAAAAGACTAACCCATGTGGACTTGTATAAATGGAATGTTTTTGTTCTGTAAAGTACAGGAACATATCATACATACATCTTCTTAATTATCATGAATTCAGCCATGATATTTTAGTCTCAAATAAAAGAAAATACAACAGGAGATCTTTTGTTGTCAATGATTATGAAGTGTCATCATAATTCATTTATTTTTGAAAAATTACAAGTGTTTAAATTAATGGATTGAGCAATGCATAGAACGCAAAACTTGACATAATTATAATCTGTTGATTAAAGTCTCAAAAGGAGCTTGTGCATAAAGAAATCCAGTATGCTGTATTGAAGAAATATAATTATTTGAATTATACCCCAGATGAAAGAGGGAACATTGCAGTGAATGAAAGTTATTAAGAGGAATAACCATGTATACGTAGAACCCCAATCGCTAATCCTTATTTAAACACAAGATTTGAGGGGATAACACCTAGGGAAAAATGGTTTGATGCAGTCAATGTTAGTTATCAGGAGGAATAATTATATCTATGGTTTAAATAGGGATAGGTTTCATTAATCATAAAAAAATATTAATTCAAAGTAGTAATACTACAACCAGTGGCTTATAATAAATAAGTATTCATAATTTCACTTGATAAAAAAACATCATTTTAAAATTTTCTTTTTTCATCATGTATCATTGAAAAGTAATGCAATGATGTCACATTGCCAGTCACATGAACCTTACACAACATTCAAAATGTCGGACAGTAACAGAAAATTCTTGCGTTTAAAGTTTGGTCATTTATAATAATAACAAATACTGTGAATCTGTAATGACAACAGATCTAGTAAATGACAATGCCAATCCAAAAAACAATATATTATCTTGGACTGGTTTCCTTAAAATTAGCTTACATTGGTCAACATTTAAAACATATCTTGACCTGTGTCTTGGCCTCAATGTGAAAATGCATGCCATCATAAAGAATATAAATCCCTGATTTAAACACTATGTATATATGGAATACTAGTAACCCTGATAGACTTATAGTGACATAAAATGTAGCATTTCACAAAAATGTACTGATATGTACACTAAGGTAATGTATACCAGTTCTCCTACATTATGTGGACCTGATCCATACAGAACCCTTATATTCTTGCTTCTTCATTATAGAAACCTACATAAGACATATCGTTTCTCATTGTTTTCTTCAAATAAATTTTCACTATGAAGACTTGGTATTATAAAATAGTGCCCCCGACTGGTATCCCCTGTAAACTTTTCACTATGTAGACTTGGTATTATAAAATAGTGCCCCCAACTGGTATCCCCTGTAAACTTTTCACTATGTAGACTTGGTATTATAAAATAGTGCCACCGACTGGTATCCCCTGTAAACTTTTCACTATGTAGACTTGCATTATAAAATATTGTCCCTGATTGGAATCCCATGTATACTTTTAACTGCAGTTCTCTCTGTTTATCTCCAAACTGACACATGGTGATAAATTACCAAGTCAATCAAAGTGGACTTAATCAAGAGGAGACAACTCAAATTTGAATAAGGTAAAACCAGTATTGCTTATCCTGTTGATCTGATCCTATATTGTACTAGTGGACATGGATCCAGTCACACAAACTTATATCATTAAATATTTTCACCAACATATATCCACCGTATTTTACTACACAGACATTTTCTCTTCCTGATATTGACAATCTACTTTTTATTGTATAGACCTTTTCATAATGTCTCTGACTGGTTATGTACCTAATGTGCAGACCTGCATCACAAAATATTGTCTCTGACGGGTATCCCCCATATACTGGTTCTCCTGACTCCTGTGGTAGGTCTGGCAATGCTGGAGAATGGATATTTGTTAACATCTACACTAATAGCCTGTCTCAGTTGTTGTAATGCTGTGTTCCTTACAGGGCTTCCAAAACGGTCATATATTCCGGACTTGACCGAAACTTTCATAAAAAGACCGGCTGCTCTCAGCCTCAAACGGTCAAATAGAATTGGTGTGCCACATTTTGTTATTCAAGGCATTTTCATGAAACGGTCATTTCAATTTTTACCAACTATCGATCGAAAAAAATGTCCGTTTGGGGCTTTGGGCATGTCCGTTTGGGCATTTTAGTTTATAATTGTAGCAATCTATTTCACAAAGATATTTCGGTCATAATTGGGTTTAATAAAACAGAAGCAGCATATTTCAGATACTTTGAAGTGTCTCAGTTAGTCTAATCCTCTGGGTACATAAATGTACAGCTTGGTCTTTAGCTTGTGTACATCAATAAAAAGTAGAAAAAACACGTTTTCTTTTATTTAAATAACAACAAGCTGTCAAACAATTATCCCTTCAATAAGTTATATTGAAGCCATAAATCATTCACTGATTACAGGTTTGTTACCTTTGATGAGGTGTCCTTAGCTTATCTTTATCAATAGAATTAATGATGCATAACAATGTACATAAAGGTAATCCGGTAAACGATGTCAAACATGTAAGCGTGTATGGAACAACATCCTATTTAATTACGCTTTATAGATATTATTTTAAATGAGCATTCAGTTTTAAAAGTATCCTGATATTTAAAAGTTATTCTTCAAATAAGGATATTTATAAATGAATAAGTATGATATATATTATTTTATTTAACACTGTACATCGTGTTAAATACTGGGGTACTCTCAAGGGGAAAATTTACTAAAATATATAGGAAAAACCAATGGACAAATTTCAGTCAATAAATGATTTAACTAAGTTAAATGGTGCCGTGATCACTTCTAAATTATATCAAGAGAACAATGCCTGCTTCGAATTTATTCAGACAATTTCCGATGTTATAGAGAAAGAGGTGATGTCCGACGTAAAGTTAAGTCCCGCCGTGGGAATTATGATCGACTAAGGTGTAGTCTAGGTATTGACGCTTTAGATCAACTTATGAGGATAAGCTTAGTAGGTGTAGATGTTAAAGACTTTGACCCTGTTCCTGCTATCCGCAAATGGCAATCCGTTCGTAACCGCCATGTTTATCAGAACAATGCATTTAGCAAGCTCATGAATGTAAAATCTTTAATTAGACTAAATGAACTCTAATCTTGTGCTGTGATCTGTGCTTCTTTTCAATGTGCTCATTGTAATATTTATTGCGTGTGTTTGTCAGCATTGTGCTCTTCTGACATTTTATTGTTGTTATATGCTTACATAAAATATCATGTTGTTATTCGTTAAATTATTTATCAACTGAGTATGTTTTTATTTATTCCTTATTTTCTAAATCAGGTTGGGAAATTGTACAAAGAAAAATGTTATCACTGTTCAGTAGATTTTACACGGTTTAAAACAATATCCTTCATCGGGCCTCCTCAATGTTATCTATAAATACCGCATCAGTTGTAAAAGTCACGTGGTCAGGTAATCAATACACAAAAAGAAAAGTATCACGTGTATTGATGATCAAGTTGTACTGCAATTAAAGCCAACATCAACAGTTTCAAATAAGATGGCCTTAATTTACAAAGTGTTAAGTACTCACAGAGAGAAGATAGATTATATAAACAGAAACAAAAACATGAGAACAGTCAGGTACTGAAGCTGATTGATGCAATGATGGTTACTGTATTACGATACACAGAAAAATGACACAATACCGAGGATAATATTTTATTTATTTTTAGAATGAAGAAAACAAAACAGTTATAAATAATTTTATTGCATATAACACTACTAATTATTTAGACACATATATCAATTTATGCATCCTCTCAGTTACATTTAAGTATCCAGCTGATCATTGACCGTCAAAAATATTTCTTTGAAAAATGTCCGGCTGTCGTCAGGAAATTTTGGAAGCCCTGGTTCCTTAACATTCCAAACACATCCACCACATTTAATGATAAAATGTTCTGTAATTCTCTGAAACAATGAAATTTTTTGTTCATATCTAATCTCATATGTATAATTGAGAGACTAACTTAATCATGAAAACTAAACATTGATCAATTAATGTCAAGAATAGAGTCAGATGGACATGTTCCCATCACAACCATTCTGCAAACCGAATATACATACTGACTTAATCATGATAACTTAACTTTTATTAACGAACCATGAAAATGTAACAAACTAAATATTTGCCTTGAATAATTGATTAAAATATATTTATTGCAGGAAACAAGTATACTTGTTTTTTATTAATGTGCTTCCGGTACTGGAAAAGAGCATTCTAAATTTTATACCTCAGAACAAACAGCAGCGTTTCTCCAAAATTGAAAATATGTAGGGTATTTTCAAGATTCTAAAGATAATTTTATGATATATAAGAGTAATTCAAGTATTGTATTGGTTAAAATAGAGGGAAATCCATCTCCATCTTTTAATGTGCCAACATGAAGACATCAGAATGTCAGCCAATGAAGATATGATGGATTTGACTGGAAAGATAAGTTTCAGGGCTTTGATGCCATAGAACTTGATGCTGACATTACAGAGTTAACTGAACTTGATGCTGACATTACAGAGTTAACTGAACTTGATGCTGACATTAGAGTTAACTGAATATGATGCTGACATTACAGAGTTAACTGAACTTGATGCTGACATTACAGAGTTAACTGGCAAACTATTGTACCATGAACTTACCTGTGAAATAATTTTAATAAAATTATCGAACAGTACCTCTTATCAACTAAGTAGGATTTAAAGGTTCACTTTTATTAAACAATTAACATGATTAAGAAACTAAAAAAAAACATGATGAATTTGAACTTTTGTACATTTACTCCTCATTTACCATAAAAATAAACTTGCTTGAAGCACCTGAACAGTGTTAAATAGTTGAAATTAAGTACATTGAAGTTGATGTCTATTTTTCACTTTTCAATTGTTTATTGACTTGTTTGACCTGTTGTTTTTTTTAACTCCAAATAAACTATGCAAGTTATTTCTCACACATGTTGTTACCTGTTCATATTACCTGATATAATTGAACCAAACCTGGTTTCAGATTGACTGAGCAAATTTTTACATAAAACATATAGGTTTTGTAAACCTGTCTCTTGTGGATCCTGCCTTTAAAAATTGTGATTGAAATTCCTTTATACTAGATTTTTTTTTTTTATACAGTACAAGAGAAAAATTCACTTAAGTGCATTCTGGTTTAAGTATTTAAAAAGTTGTCTTCTCCACGGTTGATTAATGATTTTTTCATTGTACCTTGGTATCAGTCTCAAACAATTAAAATACTTACGGTATAGTAGTTGGAGATATACGATAACATCTGCTTAAAGCTATGTATTCTAATCTCTTCAAATGCTGAGTTAAATAACGAATGCTGTTGCAAGTAATAACTGTTGAGTCACTTAAATCTAATTCTCTTAATCTGTAACATCTTTTCACTAACTGTAAAATTTCTGAAAAACACAAAACAGAGAATGACTTTTTCATTTATAACATCTCAGGGAGGAATAGTTTTCGTGTTTACGAAATTTAACTTATTTGGCCTAACATTTCCCTAAAAAAAAATTTCAAATTATGAACACTGAACTTGGAGTCACTTCACAAAAAAACTTATGACTAAGATTGATCGTAGGTCATGAACAATTCAGTATACTTACGATCAATCTTAGTCATAAGTTTTTTTGTGAAACCGACTCCTGATGTGTTTGTTGGTATTTTATGGAGGTGTCTCTCTTCTATGTTGTGTCCTTTTTTTAATGAAGTAAATATATATATATATAATACAAGAGTTGACCAATTACAATGTGTCTCTTAAAGCAATATTTGAATACATCTGACGACAATATTTCAAAACAATATTTATGTTTGTAAAGATACAAATGAGCCGTGTATGCAAACAGAGCTTGCTACTTCAAAAAAAAACCAAAACAATAGCTCGATACTGTAATAAAAAATTCATTCTTATAAAAATTCAACTCTACTATTAATAAGGACAATGTCTCTTCACGCAAAGGTTTGAAATGCTTATCATTTTTGTTCCAAAGATTTAAAATAGCATTTTCTTTGAATGATGAAAACTTAGCTGTCAGAATAAAACATACAAACCTTCATCTGTAATATTCTCTCTACAACCACTGATATTGAGCTTTTCTATAGACTGAGGTAAACAAAGAGAAAGATAAACTACACTATGTCTGTGTATACCTGTCCAGGCAACGTTCAATGATTCTAATCTGAAATTATAGGAAGACAATCAGTGAATAGCTGGTGTAAACTACACTGTGTCTGTGTATACCTGTCCAGGCAACAGTCAACGTCTCTAATCTGAAATTATAGGAAGACAACTAGTGAATGGCTGATGTAAACTACACTGTGTCTGTGTATACATGTCCAGGCAACGTTCAATGACTCTAATCTGAAATTATAGGAAGACAACTAGTGAATGGCTGATGTAAACTACACTGTGTCTGTGTATACCTGTCCAGGCAACGTTCAATGACTCTAATCTGAAATTATAGGAAGACAATCAGTGAATGGCTGATGTAAACTACACTGTGTCTGTGTATACCTGTCCAGGCAACGTTCAATGATTCTAATCTGAAATTATAGGAAGACAACTAGTGAATGGCTGATGTAAACTACAGTGTGTCTGTGTATACATGTCCAGGCAACGTTCAACGCCTCTAATCTGAAATTATAGGAAGACAACAAGTGAATAGCTGATGTAAACTACACTGTGTCTGTGTATACATGTCCAGGCAACGTTCAATGATTCTAATCTGAAATTATAGGAAGACAACTAGTGAATAGCTGATGTAAACTACACTGTGTCTGTGTATACCTGTCCAGGCAACTTTCAATGACTCTAATCTGAAATTATAGGAAGTCAACCAGTGAATGGCTGATGTAAACTACACTGTGTCTGTGTATACATGTCTAGGCAACGTTCAACGCCTCTAATCTGAAATTATAGGAAGACAACTAGTGAATGGCTGATGTAAAATACACTGTGCCTGTGTATACATGTCCAGGCAATGTTCAATGACTCTGATCTGAAATTATAGGAAGACAACTAGTGAATGGCTGATGTCCAGGCAACGTTCAATGACTCTTATCTGAAATTATAGAAAGACAACCAGCAAATGGCTGATGTAAAATACACTGTGTCTGTGTATATGAAATAAGAAGATGTGGTATGATTGTCAATGAAACAATTCTCCACCAGAGACACAATGATGTAGAAATTAGCAACTGTCATGGTCAGGTTATTGGAAGATGATGCTTATCCAGTGAATGGCTGAGGTAAACTATGGGTGGGTGTCAGATACTTTTTTGTATAGTGATTTGCCTCTTTAGATGGTAACCCATATGAAAGTGCCTTCCCTGTGTACCATGTATGTTTCAATGGAACAGCCCTTAATATCAACATTAACTCAGGAATACAGGTTTAAAATTTTAACAAGGTAATGAACTGAAAAATAATATCAAATACTGATATGTTATTTCCTCTTATTTGAGCAACATAAGTTCACATGAGTGAAATCCATCATTATTATATAAAGGCAACAAAACTTTTGCAGTTGCACCTTCACTCATTATTATTGTAGGGAACAACACATCTTATATAGTTTGTACATATAAACTGTAATATAGTTTGTACATATAGACTGTAATATAGTTTGTACATATAGACTGTACTATAGTTTGTACATATAGACTGTAACATAGTTTGTACATATAGACTGTAACATAGTTTGTACATATAGACTGTAATATAGTTTGTAAATATAGACTGTAATATAGTTTGTACATATAGACTGTACTAAATTTTGTACATATAGACTGTACTATAGTTTGTACATATATAGACTGTAATATAGTTTGTACATATAGACTGTAATAAAGTTTGTACATATAGACTGTACTATAGTTTGTACATATAGACTGTAACATAGTTTGTACATATTGACTGTACTATAGTTTGTACATATAGACTGTAACATAGTTTGTACATATAGACTGTACTATAGTTTGTACATATAGACTGTACTATAGTTTGTACATATATAGACTGTACTATAGTTTGTACATATAGACTGCACTATAGTTTGTACGTATAGACTGTACTATAGTTTGTACATATATAGACTGTAACATAGTTTGTACGTATATAGACTGTAACATAGTTTGTACGTATAGACTGTACTATAGTTTGTACGTATAGACTGTAACATAGTTTGTACGTATAGACTGTAACATAGTTTGTACATATATAGACTGTAATATAGTTTGTACATATAGACTGTACTATAGTTTGTACATATATAGACTGTAACATAGTTTGTACGTATAGACTGTAATATAGTTTGTACGTATAGACTGTACTATAGTTTGTACGTATAGACTGTAACATAGTTTGTACGTATAGACTGTACTATAGTTTGTACGTATAGACTGTACTATAGTTTGTACGTATAGACTGTAACATAGTTTGTACATATTGACTGTACTATAGTTTGTACATATAGACTGTAACATAGTTTGTACATATAGACTGTACTATAGTTTGTACATATAGACTGTACTATAGTTTGTACATATATAGACTGTACTATAGTTTGTACATATAGACTGCACTATAGTTTGTACGTATAGACTGTACTATAGTTTGTACATATATAGACTGTAACATAGTTTGTACGTATATAGACTGTAACATAGTTTGTACGTATAGACTGTACTATAGTTTGTACGTATAGACTGTAACATAGTTTGTACATATATAGACTGTAATATAGTTTGTACATATAGACTGTACTATAGTTTGTATGTATAGACTGTACTATAGTTTGTACGTATAGACTGTACTATAGTTTGTACATATAGACTGTACTATAGTTTGTACGTATAGACTGTAACATAGTTTGTACGTATAGACTGTACTATAGTTTGTACGTATAGACTGTACTATAGTTTGTACGTATAGACTGTAATATAGTTTGTACGTATAGACTGTAACATAGTTTGTACATATATAGACTGTACGATAGTTTGTACGTATAGACTGTACTATAGTTTGTACGTATAGACTGTAACATAGTTTGTACGTATAGACTGTAACATAGTTTGTACATATATAGACTGTAACATAGTTTGTACGTATAGACTGTACTATAGTTTGTACGTATAGACTGTACTATAGTTTGTACGTATAGACTGTACTATAGTTTGTACGTATAGACTGTACTATAGTTTGTACGTATAGACTGTAACATAGTTTGTACATATATAGACTGTAATATAGTTTGTACGTATAGACTGTACTATAGTTTGTACGTATAGACTGTACTATAGTTTGTACGTATAGACTGTAACATAGTTTGTACATATATAGACTGTAACATAGTTTGTACGTATAGACTGTACTATAGTTTGTACGTATAGACTGTAACATAGTTTGTACGTATAGACTGTACTATAGTTTGTACGTATAGACTGTACTATAGTTTGTACATATAGACTGTACTATAGTTTGTACGTATAGACTGTACTATAGTTTGTACGTATAGACTGTACTATAGTTTGTACGTATAGACTGTACTATAGTTTGTACGTAAAGACTGTACTATAGTTTGTACGTATAGACTGTAACATAGTTTGTACATATATAGACTGTAATATAGTTTGTACATATAGACTGTACTATAGTTTGTACATATATAGACTGTACTATAGTTTGTACATATAGACTGTAACATAGTTTGTACGTATAGACTGTACTATAGTTTGTACGTATAGACTGTACTATAGTTTGTACATATAGACTGTACTATAGTTTGTACATATAGACTGTACTATAGTTTGTACGTATAGACTGTACTATAGTTTGTACGTATAGACTGTAACATAGTTTGTACATATATAGACTGTAATATAGTTTGTACATATAGACTGTACTATAGTTTGTACATATATAGACTGTACTATAGTTTGTACATATAGACTGTAACATAGTTTGTACGTATAGACTGTACTATAGTTTGTACGTATAGACTGTACTATAGTTTGTACGTATAGACTGTAACATAGTTTGTACATATATAGACTGTAATATAGTTTGTACATATAGACTGTACTATAGTTTGTACATATATAGACTGTACTATAGTTTGTACGTATAGACTGTAACATAGTTTGTACGTATAGACTGTACTATAGTTTGTACGTATAGACTGTACTATAGTTTGTACGTATAGACTGTAATATAGTTTGTACATATAGACTGTACTATAGTTTGTACATATATAGACTGTACTATAGTTTGTACATATAGACTGCACTATAGTTTGTACGTATAGACTGTACTATAGTTTGTACATATATAGACTGTAATATAGTTTGTACGTATAGACTGTACTATAGTTTGTACATATATAGACTGTACTATAGTTTGTACATATATAGACTGTACTATAGTTTGTACGTATAGACTGTACTATAGTTTGTACGTATAGACTGTAATATAGTTTGTACGTATAGACTGTACTATAGTTTGTACATATATAGACTGTAACATAGTTTGTACGTATAGACTGTACTATAGTTTGTACGTATAGACTGTACTATAGTTTGTACGTAAAGACTGTACTATAGTTTGTACGTATAGACTGTAACATAGTTTGTACATATATAGACTGTAATATAGTTTGTACGTATAGACTGTACTATAGTTTGTACATATAGACTGTACTATAGTTTGTACATATATAGACTGTACTATAGTTTGTACATATAGACTGCACTATAGTTTGTACGTATAGACTGTACTATAGTTTGTACATATATAGACTGTAATATAGTTTGTACATATAGACTGTAACATAGTTTGTACGTATAGACTGTAACATAGTTTGTACATATATAGACTGTAATATAGTTTGTACGTATAGACTGTACTATAGTTTGTACATATAGACTGTACTATAGTTTGTACATATATAGACTGTACTATAGTTTGTACATATAGACTGCACTATAGTTTGTACGTATAGACTGTACTATAGTTTGTACATATATAGACTGTAATATAGTTTGTACGTATAGACTGTACTATAGTATGTACATATAGACTGTAATATAGTTTGTACATATATAGACTGTAATATAGTTTGTACGTATAGACTGCACTATAGTTTGTACGTATAGACTGTAATATAGTTTGTACGTATAGACT